ACATTTCTCTCTCTCTCTCTCTCTCTCTATATATATATATATATATATATATATATCAGAGTGAAATTAATATTAAACATTTATAAAAACATAAGTTTAATTATGAAAGTAACGTTAATATATTATAAAATATTCACATAAACTTTAAAACTTTAGTATAAAATATTTCTTAATCAGCAGAAGAAAGATTTGTGCCACAATGAGTTAAATAAAACCGTAATACGTAAGATCAATCTAGAAAGTAACGTTAATATATTATAAAATATTCACATTATATTATAAACTTTAGTATAAAATATTTCTTAATCAGCAGAAGAAAGATTTGTGCCACAATGAGTTAAATAAAACCGTAATACGTAACTTATCTAGATCAATCTAGAATCAAGTTCTCTTGCACTTACAATCTTCAGACACGCCATTCTTTCTCGTGATTGCAAGCACAATCCAGCTGAGACGTCTTGTTAACAATAGCACTTATTTTTTTCTCATCTGTCGTCGCCGAACACCACTGTCCATCGTTTCTGCGACATGGGTTCTTTTATAACAAAGGCGGAGTCCCTTCGCCAGGCAGTGGACCCCCCACAAACGGTACATTTTTCCGGACTTCGCATTGGCCTCCGCCTATTGTGCTAATAGGAAACATTCATTGTTACCCTAAGATTATGCGAGTTGCAACTTTGCATTATGAAACAACAATGTGCAGTAACGCACGTGTGACGAAGTCACGTGAGTCCCCGCCCGATAAAACGCCTTGACATCCAAATTTCTTTCCCGACGCGGTTGCTCGCGTGTGTAACCCTCTTATTAACGGCAGAAAGAATCATACATCGCAATTGTCGATTATGATACTTAATGCTACTGCTGTAATCGCTAATTGCTTATCGTCGACAGTAATGCCTGGGTCCGCCCAGAGTGCGTTTCAGCAGCAGGCTGCAGTTCTACGGAAAAGGAAATGCTCTTCTCGAATATCGTAACCGAAATAGAAAGAAAGGTGACACAGACACTGGGTGACCGCGATTGCGCAAACCAAGATTCTGTTACAAAGTGTATAGTTGATGAAATCGTGTTAATCGTGTTGATGCATTGCGCCCACGCGCTTGATATGCGTGTCCGATTTGTCAATTTTGTAATGACATTTTTAGTCCCCGTAATTTGCAAAAAAAATAATGAAAATGAGAAAAATTGAGATACGAAATCTTTGCGTTGGTTAAATCATTAAAAATGAATGTCGGGATAAAAATCGTGTCATTTGTAATTCTTTAAAGATAAGATGTATTTAAAATATAAGATGATGTCAAATTATAATAATTTATTAATCGCTGCAGAACATACCGATGAGATATATGAGTCAAATTTGCCAATCGAACATAGAATTAATTAATTCGACAGAGTGTTCAATTTTTTTCATGGACCCTGCGGCGAATATTCCGGTTTGTTTTTATCAAATTTAGTGGATACATTTTACGCTATTAATCATGTTTCAACATGGAATATATGTAAAACATAGCTCGCATAATCCTCACAGGATAGGATTAACAGAAAATATATATTGTATATATATTTTTTATATATTGTATATATATTTTTTAGGATCATATTTTGTAGAGAAAGTTATCTATAATAAATATTTTTAATGTATATTCTCAATGTATCATTGATATTTTATATGTAGAGTAACAAGAAAGTTTGCTAAATATTATATACACTGAAAGTTTTAAATATGTAATTTTTAAAATTGTTATTTTTTCCGTCGATTTATTTAATTGATAACGTATAGTTCTATTTTTTTATATTTTTTATTTCTACTATGTGAAACTTGCAAGAATACAATAGTAAGTATGATTACTTTTTAATTGATTGAAACATCATTGATATAAATATTTCACAATTGCTTCCATTTTTATCTGTATATTTTTTTGTTACATTTACCTTCACAGTCGATTATATCCACATTTTCCATTGAGTTGATTTATTTCCGCTCCCAGTAAACGAGATCGAATCTATGATCGATATTTGTATGATCGAGCGAAGAATTTTTTGCATGTTACGTAAATTGTTATGCATTTACCTTGAATTATATGTCATAATAATTTATTTTATCATCTTTTAATCTCTTCTTATGGAGATTCTCAGAAACATTTTCGAACAATTTTTTACTTAATAATTAACTTTAAAATATCAAAATAATTATCGTGTAATCATAAAAATAATATATTAAAATAAAATGCGATTTAAAATTATAGGATTTCGTTATCTTCTGTCACATTTATTTTTATATGCATTAAATATTTTATAATATTTAAAATTTCTTAAATTTTTTTTTTTTTTCATACGGAAAAACAAATGCAAATAATTGTCTCTGTAAATTAAATATTTCTAACTTTGCGTGTCTTACATAATCGCGTTTCGTATCGTCTTTGACGATACGCAGTAAACACGACGTATATGCAGAATTGTTATGGAGGCCACGAAAATTACTGGACCATGCACGCCCCATGCATTATTGTCAAGACAAAGAAGTAATTGCATAGATAAAGGCCAGCAATAATCATGAGAATATTTTCTATATCATGATCGTGGGAAAACACCGTAATAGAAACCGATGATAAATATAAATATGCGTGTCGCGTAGCATCCGTATAATTAGTGCGCCCGTTAATTATCGACTTCTCTCTTCTACAGCCAAACCATCTTTGCAACGCCGTAACAGTAGCGAATAAAAGTCATAATAATTTTTCTATGTGTGCTAATTTTGTTGTCTTTAACGAGAGGGATATCACAACAATAATAAGAATGTAAATCATGTCACTTACCTGACAGAAGAAGAATAAAATATTATGTATAAAATAAAGATTACTTAAAAAATATATTTTTCTCAATTTATAACACTTCTCTTTCTCTCTTTCTTTCTCTTTTTCTTTTACATTTTTAGTTAAAAATAAGAGAAGTTTTCGCTTACAGTTAAAATTGTATACTTTATATCTCTCTTTTAATTTATTATTTCCTTTATTTACAAGCAATGTATTTCGCGAATAAGTTATCCTAAGAAAAAAGAATAATAGTTCTAATTTTTTTATATGAAGAAAGATTTGTGCCACAATGAGTTAAATAAAACCGTAATACTTAACTTATCTAGATCAATCTAGAATCAAGTTCTCTTGCACTTACAATCTTCAGACACGCCATTCTTTCTCGTGATTGCAAGCACAATCCAGCTGAGACGTCTTGTTAACAATAGCACTTATTTTTTTCTCATCTGTCGTCGCCGAACACCACTGTCCATCGTTTCTGCGACATGGGTTCTTTTATAACAAAGGCGGAGTCCCTTCGCCAGGCAGTGGACCCCCCACAAACGGTACATTTTTCCGGACTTCGCATTGGCCTCCGCCTATTGTGCTAATAGGAAACATTCATTGTTACCCTAAGATTATGCGAGTTGCAACTTTGCATTATGAAACAACAATGTGCAGTAACGCACGTGTGACGAAGTCACGTGAGTCCCCGCCCGATAAAACGCCTTGACATCCAAATTTCTTTCCCGACGCGGTTGCTCGCGTGTGTAACCCTCTTATTAACGGCAGAAAGAATCATACATCGCAATTGTCGATTATGATACTTAATGCTACTGCTGTAATCGCTAATTGCTTATCGTCGACAGTAATGCCTGGGTCCGCCCAGAGTGCGTTTCAGCAGCAGGCTGCAGTTCTACGGAAAAGGAAATGCTCTTCTCGAATATCGTAACCGAAATAGAAAGAAAGGTGACACAGACACTGGGTGACCGCGATTGCGCAAACCAAGATTCTGTTACAAAGTGTATAGTTGATGAAATCGTGTTAATCGTGTTGATGCATTGCGCCCACGCGCTTGATATGCGTGTCCGATTTGTCAATTTTGTAATGACATTTTTAGTCCCCGTAATTTGCAAAAAAAATAATGAAAATGAGAAAAATTGAGATACGAAATCTTTGCGTTGGTTAAATCATTAAAAATGAATGTCGGGATAAAAATCGTGTCATTTGTAATTCTTTAAAGATAAGATGTATTTAAAATATAAGATGATGTCAAATTATAATAATTTATTAATCGCTGCAGAACATACCGATGAGATATATGAGTCAAATTTGCCAATCGAACATAGAATTAATTAATTCGACAGAGTGTTCAATTTTTTTCATGGACCCTGCGGCGAATATTCCGGTTTGTTTTTATCAAATTTAGTGGATACATTTTACGCTATTAATCATGTTTCAACATGGAATATATGTAAAACATAGCTCGCATAATCCTCACAGGATAGGATTAACAGAAAATATATATTGTATATATATTTTTTATATATTGTATATATATTTTTTAGGATCATATTTTGTAGAGAAAGTTATCTATAATAAATATTTTTAATGTATATTCTCAATGTATCATTGATATTTTATATGTAGAGTAACAAGAAAGTTTGCTAAATATTATATACACTGAAAGTTTTAAATATGTAATTTTTAAAATTGTTATTTTTTCCGTCGATTTATTTAATTGATAACGTATAGTTCTATTTTTTTATATTTTTTATTTCTACTATGTGAAACTTGCAAGAATACAATAGTAAGTATGATTACTTTTTAATTGATTGAAACATCATTGATATAAATATTTCACAATTGCTTCCATTTTTATCTGTATATTTTTTTGTTACATTTACCTTCACAGTCGATTATATCCACATTTTCCATTGAGTTGATTTATTTCCGCTCCCAGTAAACGAGATCGAATCTATGATCGATATTTGTATGATCGAGCGAAGAATTTTTTGCATGTTACGTAAATTGTTATGCATTTACCTTGAATTATATGTCATAATAATTTATTTTATCATCTTTTAATCTCTTCTTATGGAGATTCTCAGAAACATTTTCGAACAATTTTTTACTTAATAATTAACTTTAAAATATCAAAATAATTATCGTGTAATCATAAAAATAATATATTAAAATAAAATGCGATTTAAAATTATAGGATTTCGTTATCTTCTGTCACATTTATTTTTATATGCATTAAATATTTTATAATATTTAAAATTTCTTAAATTTTTTTTTTTTTTCATACGGAAAAACAAATGCAAATAATTGTCTCTGTAAATTAAATATTTCTAACTTTGCGTGTCTTACATAATCGCGTTTCGTATCGTCTTTGACGATACGCAGTAAACACGACGTATATGCAGAATTGTTATGGAGGCCACGAAAATTACTGGACCATGCACGCCCCATGCATTATTGTCAAGACAAAGAAGTAATTGCATAGATAAAGGCCAGCAATAATCATGAGAATATTTTCTATATCATGATCGTGGGAAAACACCGTAATAGAAACCGATGATAAATATAAATATGCGTGTCGCGTAGCATCCGTATAATTAGTGCGCCCGTTAATTATCGACTTCTCTCTTCTACAGCCAAACCATCTTTGCAACGCCGTAACAGTAGCGAATAAAAGTCATAATAATTTTTCTATGTGTGCTAATTTTGTTGTCTTTAACGAGAGGGATATCACAACAATAATAAGAATGTAAATCATGTCACTTACCTGACAGAAGAAGAATAAAATATTATGTATAAAATAAAGATTACTTAAAAAATATATTTTTCTCAATTTATAACACTTCTCTTTCTCTCTTTCTTTCTCTTTTTCTTTTACATTTTTAGTTAAAAATAAGAGAAGTTTTCGCTTACAGTTAAAATTGTATACTTTATATCTCTCTTTTAATTTATTATTTCCTTTATTTACAAGCAATGTATTTCGCGAATAAGTTATCCTAAGAAAAAAGAATAATAGTTCTAATTTTTTTATATATTATTTATATGATTTATATTATAATTTCTTTATATATTTTTATTACAATATAACTTTACTTTGCTTCCTTTCATCAAATTCAACGTTTTCCAGAGATCAGACTTTTCTGCTCCCGAAATTAACCAGACTGATCCGTTTCAGCCCGTTCTGTCCCGATGTTTTGTATCGATTCGAGCTAGGAGCCAGCGCTATCTCTTCCTGATTGAGTGCAATGATCCGTTCGGGATTCTCATCTTCCGCAAGTTCTCCGGCTGGCGCTTCCGTTGACTCGCCGGATTCGCCCGAGTCGGAGGGCTTGCCCTTCGGTGGCAGATACTTCTTACCGTGGAAGAAAGGCCCGTAAGGATGATGGAATGGAAAGCCAATCGGATAAGGACCGGCATAGATGGGATAGCCAACGTGGCCAACCCCGACAGGGCCGCCCTTGAACACTCCGTGGAAGTGGTCGTAGGGCAGCAGGTTGAAAGGAGACGGGAGGCCGTGAAGATGAAAAGCTCCCAGGGGCGGCTTGAACAAAGGAGGTCCATAAGGATGCGGGTTGCCGTTTCTTGTCGAGTTATTCTGATCGCCATTCTCGGCTGGTTCTTCGGTTTGTCTGTTATTATTATTGTTATTATTATTATTATTATTATTATTATTACCATTATTGTGGCCATTGTAGCCGTAACGGGGAGGTCCATAGAAGTCGGGACCGTCGTAGTAAGGCCCGTAATGTCTGTTTCGCCCGTTATCGGAAGAATTATTTCCGTTCCTACCATAGGGCCCGTAAAAAGGACCGTGATTACCATATCCCCCGTAAGGAAACGGAGAATAGGGATGATAGCCGTGGTTGCCGAAGCCATAGGGATGACCGTAACCTCGATGATCAGTACCATTGTTCTCCTCCGAGCTCGTCTCACCGTCCGATGGCGGTTCACCATATGGATGATGATGATGATGATGATGATGTCCGTGAAAGTGTCCGTAGGGCCCGAATCCATGGAAGCCTGCGTAGGACTTAGCCAAGAAGGGCCCGTGACCGAAAGCTGCTTTATCAAAACCGACGTCGTGATAAGACGAGTACAAGTTGGTGGACGATTCCTCGATGTTGCCGAGCAATGGCTCGATATTTTCGGTATCAACAGGTTTTTGAGTCACTTCGAGATCGTCATTCGCTGAGAGATCGTAAGGTCTGTAAAAATTTGGTCGCTCTTGACGCAGGTAGGGTTCATCTCGTAGAGATCCTTCGAGTTGTTCGTTTGCTTCGGAGTTTTCTTCGAGTCCTTCGGGAGAGTTCTCGTAGAGATCGTTGTAGGGATAAGACTGTGATCCGTAATACGTAGGTGCGTTTGACGTTTTATCAACTATGTTGTCCAGGATTGAAGGTCTGTCCAGGTTATCGTCGTTTAAGCTGGTGGGTGCCGTCAGACTCAAGGACGATCTGTTGGTGCGGAATTGTAAATCGCCTAATATCGCCGGCGACAACACGGAGGCTACATTCTTAGCAAAATTCGCTAGTATATCTGGGCCTGCGTTAAAAAGAGAGCGATTAGTGAATAAAAATTGTGAATAGAATTTGAAGAAAACATGTTAGATGAATATATTATAGAATATTATTTTGATATTTTCCGCCTTTCTTAAATCATTTTGCATATTTTTTGCATATTCTTTGCATATTTCTTTGAAAAGAATTTAACAGGAAGCATTTTTTACAAACTATAGTTTAATGATCGATGGTCATTACATTCTTGTTTCTTCGCCCAAGTTTTGATATATGTACATAATAATGTTTATGAAAACACATAATTTTCTAATAAATCTCGAAAAAGGATTATGCTTACTGACTGCGCTTCTTGCTGTTCTACCGCCGTTTATCGCGCACCAAATTGCGATGCAATGCATCAGTATCTGTAACAAAAGAAAATATAGCCAATGCTGTAATTGTATAATTGTCAGATTAACAAATTAATAAATACTTTAATAAAAGTTTTTAATCCTGCTTATAAGATGCACTTTTGAATATTTATCTCCTTTTCAATATCAATAAAAATGACGATTATATATCTTAAATATAAAATTAA